GGCTCCTCGATCCAGGCGAAATCTCTCGCCCTCGCCTCCTCGCCCCTTTCAATAAGCGAGCACCGGAGCCTCCTCCAGACCCACGGTCGCCGTCGCCGAGCGCTGCCTCCGACTCCGACGATCTTCCGTCGCCGTCGCCGGTCAGTGCTCTTCATAATGTGATATATTCCCAACAAGATACTAATAGGAACTGGCTTCAAAGGTCAGTACCATTAGGCAATAGCCCATATACTGTTTCGAATTCATTTTGTTGGAATATCATTCAAGGCCAGGTCGTGTGTAATAAACTAAAGTTACTCTTTCAATCACTTTTTGCTACTTGTCTACAATGTATGGCCTAAGTTAATTAATATTACCAGCATGGGGAAGTATTGACACATGATTGTTCTTTTAGTAAATCCCGTGGGTCAACTTCCAAAGCTTTGCGTTTTTACTTTAGCCTTTTCTCCATTCTTTGTCATGCTAAAGGCATGCTGACTATGGGCATGATAAGTGGAACTAGGCCTTAGAAAATTGGACAGAGGTTGTGAAGAAGCAAAGATTTGTTGTTGACATGTTATTGTATTATCCAGATGATAAAAAGGTCTGTGAATGATGCATATGAGGAGGATCAATTTTAGATTTAATGTCACTTCTTTCTTTGAACTATAAATTCTAGAATTATAGATTTTCCTGGTAAAATCTAATCAATTTGAGTGGTATATTTTCCTTTTTTACCCCCGTGCGGTGCCACAACTCCCGTGCAACACCACATAAACAAACATACTAGTATCACTATATGAATACAAATCTTATACTCAGGTTTCATTTCTGTAAGTTACATAGTGGCTTGATAATGTTCAAACATGCAGGCTCTGCAGGTTGATGATTTAAAGCTTGATGTAGTTGGTCCAAAGTTTGAGCACCACGAAATGTTTCCTTCACGAACAAATACAGGTTACTTAATTGTGTTTTGTTTCTTTCTTTAAATTTATCATTTTTGTTTTTCTCTTTAAATGTATTGCTATTTATTCAATATTTCCTGGTAAGTATATTGCATGATGATGTTCCTTGCCATCAGAGTCTACTGTCTGTACTTACCTTTCCCATACCTTGAAATATTACTCGTCTATCTAGTGTAAAGGTTGTGACGCGAGCCTTGTTTATTTTGCAGAATTTGTTCAAGTATTTTCTCGTTCGCACCTGAAAATGCGTGTATGGGAGCGTGGTGCAGGTATGGATTACGCATAACGTGCTTAAAACCTAGCTTTCATCAGAATACATAACCTATTGAGACTTTTTAAATTTCAAAGCTCTTGTTTTCCCAACTTCTTCTCGGTCAGTCGCTTTCCCAGCCTCTTGCAGCAATACATTATAATAGTATCCATTGATACAGAACTTGGATCAAATGGGAAGGGAAAATGATCTGAATATTAACTTGTATAGCAAATCATCTTACAAGGATTAGTTTTTAACTAACGTTTATTAAAAATATTCTTTTTAGTGTATTGATTTCTTGATTATGAACATATCCTCATTTGGTTAACTTAATTTTATAAAATTTCCCAATGAAGGAGCAACTCTGGCCTGTGGAACGGGAGCATGTGCAGTAGTAGTTGCCGCTGTTCTCGAGGGGCAGTCTGAAAGGGTAAGTTTGGCATTAATGAGTCCTATAATTGTTTACTTTGTTTTATTCAGCCTATTGCTGTGTCATCCCAACTAAGCTAGTCGATATACACTATTCTGAATATATATATATTTTCCCTCAATGTATCAGACATGTATTGTTGATTTACCTGGCGGGCCATTGGAAATTGAGTGGAGAGAGGAGGACAATCATGTCTACATGACAGGTCCTGCAGAGGTTGTGTTTTACGGATCTTTACCCCTTTAGTTCAGCAGCTTATGGACTTGGTTCTATTAGCTCATCTCACAGGAGAATGGTAATTTTTTTCATCTAAATATCAATACCTGGACTATGTAAAATTGATCTATGAGCTGTCAAAGTTTGTGCACTGTAGTTGTCCTGCATGTTCAAATTGCAGTTGCTGATCCATTTGTTAAACATGTAGGTGTGATGTAAGATCTGTTAAATGTGGCAGAAACTTAAATTTTTATTGTCAATGATTGAGACTGTGAATCCTAATCTCAAATTTTGCTGGACTGGAAGTCCGATGAGTTCATGCGTGCAAGTTTCTGGTAATATATGGAGTGATGTTGTCTCTTTTTTTTGGTAATTAACTTTCTTGAAGGCATAATGAGGCATCATGAACATAAGATGTTTCGATAACAAGAAAAAAACATTATATTTGCCTATATTTTATTTGTCAGTTACACAACTTATTTCATCCTTTAGACTAGCATCAATCCACTTTTCCATTCAATACTAGTTTAAGAATTATTATGATACCATTTTCAGACAACAGATTTTGAGGTTAATTTTTAGAGTAAGTCTGGAAGGCGTGAAGAAGGATTAAACTACATATTTTTGTATGCCCACCACACATTTGAGTTTGTCCATATTTTATGCACCTTTTAGTTATTCACATGAATCTCATTAGTTACTTACGGGATCTCATTAGTTACTTACATGTTTGGCTAAGGCATTGCTTGCAATTTTGTTAACCAATTTCTGTTGCCTCTGGCTGGTTCATCTGTTTATGTTTCCTTCTATTTTGTTTTCTGGAAATAGTTTAGGTAGTGGTTTCAAACTGTAGATCACTTGAAATAGTACTACATTTTATTATTGTTTTATTTTTTCAAGTGCTTGTTGTCATGTGTCGTTATTATCAAACATTGAAGTGTATTGGCAGCTATTCATGCACACATGACATAGGAATAGCACACTCAGATTACATTGGCCCATCACTATTAAGTGCTTGTTGTTATTATTCTTGTCATTAAATACTGAGTGCTTGACATTTACAATGCACACATGATGTAACATGTCTACATAAATGTAATACTTAAGCAGTTTTGGTGCATCCAGAGTCACGTACATGTTTCTTGAAGGAAGTATATACATATGCTTTATTGGACACAACGAATGAGAGGGAATATTTTTTAAAGGATCGGAAAATACATTGTTCTTTACTCAGTGGTGAGTGGATATAATTTCTAGCCACTTGAAATAATCTGGGGGAGGAAACAGGCGGTGGATTCTTAAAGATGATTATGCATATGAAAGAGAATGACAGGATGATGAGGCTACTTATTTGTGATATGTTTCAAATAAATTCTAAATTATGCGAACTACTGTGAAAGAACCACTCACGGAGTTATTTTCAGTAAAGAAAAACTCGTGAATGATTCCGAATATTCTAGGATTTCATTGTTCACAAAATGAAAAGCTGTTAATATTTGCCTCTTTCTATCTGTTACAAATGGTCTGTACAAGTTTTTTCTCCTAGACTGCATCTTTTACTGCCTTGCCTCTATGAAGGCGAAAGGTATTGCCATTACTTTACAGAGACCAAAATATAATAGCTGGTGGATTCATGTAGAGGAGCACTGAGTTATTACTTAAGTAGGAGATAATGAGAGGACCAGAAGCTCAGGAGCAGGTCACTAACTTCACTACTTTTAGTCTCCTTGTGACATTGTCTAATTAATTTGTATTGCTTCCTACCACTTTTTGAACTGATATCACGAATCTAATCCTATTTCTTATGAAAGGATAACAATCAGTTTTTTAGTAGAATAATACGAGGATAAGCACCTCAGCCACCCAGATATATCTTCTCATGTCATTTTAGGTTATTAAATATAGGTGATTAATATGGTGGAATTGAAGATAAGATACTGTTAGATTTAGCTAAATACTAATTGCAAACTTTATATAATTATATGATTAAACGACCACCACCACTAGATAATGCTGTAGAGAAATGTTCATTGCTGTCTTGCAAGGCTTTTTTTTTGAAATGTTCATTGCTATCTTGCAAGGCTTTTTTTTGTCATGATAATCTATTTTAGAGTTGACATATACCTAGAATCTTAATGCAATAATGCAAAGTTTATGTTCATTTTAAAATCCCTACCAGCTTACTAGGTATTATATCTTTGCAGAATCAATTCCATGCATTTCTTTGTGGAACATAAAAAAAGTACTGCATTTTGTATCACAAAAACAACTAACTCTGTATTCATTTTCTATATTCTAATCCTTGCTTAATCGATGCATAACTACTATGTATTTTAGATTGATTATTGTTGAGATTTTGACAACCCTCTATTTCTTATGCTCAAAAACATTTCATATTGCTTGTTGCTAAGGATCATAGCATTAACATTTGGCTCATATAATAGGAATTTTATAAAGCTTAAATGTGCTCATATTTACATCTACTAGACGGTTAATGAAGTTA